TAGGGTCGTCGTGAGTGCTCTTTTTTTGGTGGCGTGTACAGTGCTTTTGCGTTGAACAGGCTAAAGCTGATCGACACAAGAGGGCACCAGTGGCAGCAAAGTCGAGTGCTTCCGCAGTGCTGTAGGACCGTAAGAGTGCATGGCCGGTAGGTGCTGCTTGCGAGTGTGCGCCAGGCCGTTCCTCCATCGGCTCGGCAGGGGCCTCGGCAGGATGCTCGGCAGGATGCTCGGCAGGATGCGCTAGGAGCGGTAGGAGCTGCGTTCCAGAAGTGCTCTGCCGGATGTGCGCACTCAAAAAGGAATTCGTTAGAGTCCTCGCCATGACGGGATTTACCGCAGCCACTGCGAGCGCGAAGTCTTCGATTCGGCGGTGGACTTGATTCTCCGCGACGACTTGCCCAAGCTCGCCAGATTGGGCAGCCGAGTCTTCAAGGAGCCTGATGCCGCCCGCTGCTTGGAGCGGATGCGGGAGCTCGTGAACCGCCGAGAGAGCGCTACCGCCCAACAGGCGATGAGGTGCCTCGCACAGCTGGAGGCCTCCGAGGACTCAGAGGTGCAGGGCGAGATGATCTGCACCGAGAAGCGGCTGCAGGACTGGCTCGCCAAGCTCGAGGAAGCCGTGCCGGACCCGGCGGCCCCCGAGCCTCAGAAGCCGCCCGAGGTCACCTGCGTCAGCTTCAGCGGAGCCATGAAAAGGCCAGCCGAGGAACCAGAGCCCAAGCGACGGGCTTTGAACGACTTCTTCGCGGCCCCTTCCATGGAGCAGTCCGAGCCGTGCCATGAGGACTTGCCTCCGTGCGCCGTCGCACCTCCCAGCAGCTCCGAGCCACCCGAGGACTTCATGAGGAATGCGCAGGACAAGCCCATCTTCAAGAACTCGGGCCATCTGGGGGTGCAGTGCGAGTTCGCCACACGGGCCCTGGAGTCGAGGAGAGCAAGCTGGTAGAGTGCCTCTACGAGGTGGATGCCAGCAAGTACGAGGGGCGAGGCTGCATTTGGATGATTTGGCGCCTTCCTGGCCCTCTGCGGGGGCTGCCATCGAAGTGCCCCTACATCTCACTTCGTCCCGAGCCGGCCGCAGACCTGTGGTTCATCTTCCACAAGACGTACATGACCCTGCTGCCCAAGCCGCCGGAGGGCACCCTCCTCTACAAGGTCGCGAAGGGCCAGGGCCCGACCCTGATGGAGCGCGCGGCGATGTGCAAGATCCAGGCGGGCACCATGAGGATCATGTCCTGGGATGCCTACAACGAGCTTCGGGGCGAGAAGGCTCCCACTTTTTCGCCACGCCAGGTCCTGCACAACTACGAGGATATGACCGCCTCCGAGTTCCAGAGCCA